TTTTAGATGAGCTCCGCCGGCGAAGATCTCTTAGCTCAAACCAGGACTCACCGCCCGTAGCAGCAGCAAGCAGGCCTGCATCGTGGACGCAAAGACCTTTGCTGCAACCCTTTCGCTGCCCGTACGCATGCCGATTCTGTGATGAAGCGTGCACCAGGGACTGCCCGGACCACAAGCATCACAGTTGTTATCGCCATCGAAAGAAATAGTGGCTTGCCTGAACAGCAAATGCGCGTGCAACATGCGCATTTGCAACAAGGTGCCCGGTCACAGACCTGCTTGGGCAGTACAGAGGCCCGTGTCTAGACTGTCTCTCCGGACGTAGCCCCAGATGAACAAAGTTGAGCTCTAACCTTGGTGTCCAGTGCTCGGCTTGGCGTTTGCTGCTTGGCCTCATGCTGCTGTCGCATTATACCCAAGGCGCTGGCTCAAAAAGGACATAGGCAGTAGGAGCTCACAATGACACGCCGCAGCCGAGGGTGCATCGGCCAGGGGCTCACCCTGACGCAGGCTTTATCGTTCTCTCCAACATACTTGCGCTAACATCGTTCTCTCCCACATACTGATGTCACCATCGTTCTCTCCGGTCAACAGCGTTCTCACGAATCACATGCGTTCTCAAGGAAAATCAAGCTAGTGGCGTCCTGCGTGTTTTTTTCGGTTTTCATAGAAACGTGTGCTAAAGAACAATGACGTAAAGAATGGTGGTTTGAGGGTTTTAACAACAATAATAGCACACTTGCACATACGTATCTGGAAACGTTCTTTGGCCTACGAACGGTGGAGTTTTGCCCCTGCCTAGTCCTGCCGTCCCAGCGCGCAGACACGTGCCATGGCCTCTACAGCTGAGCCCATGGAAACTTTGGAGGACTACTGACAGCCCAGGAAGTCGTAGCCACCTGCTTGTCCTGACCTTGGACTCCTGCAGTCTCCTGCAGTCCTCCACTCTCCTAGGTTCCCTTCAGATCTCCCCACGTGCACTTTCTCTGCTTTAAAGTTCAGGCTCAAGCCTGCAGCACTGCCCCCTGCAGGACTGGGAGAAGCGTGTACAGACTTTGCTCCTCAATGTCCCCACCAAGGCAGGCCCCGACCAGGACCAGGCTGTGCGCCAGGTCAGGGATTGCGTGGCTGAGCGATGGGTGCTTCTGCGCGATTCCTTCCCCAACCAGCTCGAGTTCAAAGAAAAAAGCAAGGATTTCCAAGCAAGCCTGGACTCCTTGAGGGACATCCATGGTCCGGAGATTCCCTTTGCGCCGTCCCCACCGACGTCGAATTTGGTACAAGCAGAAGAGGCAGATGCGCCCTGTCTGACTGCAGAGGATGCCGAAGTTCTCGATGCGCAGAATCAGAAGCCGACATGCCTTTTGCATGAGTTTGCTTTCTTGAAAACTGCAGACGGCGTGTACACAGTCTTAGTGGTGCCTTTGCTGCATTCTAGCCCTGGTAGGACTGATATATAGTTGGTGCTCTTGCGCATCTTCGGAGAATTGCCACCTTGCGCTGCTCTCCCAGGTGCCCGAACAGAACCGCTGCGAGGGTTACCAGCACTACCTGGCTGTTGCTGAGTGGTGGCCTCTTCGAACACCCTTCAGCCAATGGTACACAAAGAACTTCACGTCCGTGTTTCTTCCCTTGTGTCAACAACTCGAAGTGGGTGAAGGGCACGCGCTCGCCTCAGACATCTGCTGCCGTGAGTGACACACCGGATCTTATTTATGGTCTGTTCGCTGCCTGCATCTTGCAGGTCCTGCGACGTCCCACATACAAGGGGCATGTGCAGTCGGCTGTGTCGCTGCCCGTGGATGGGACAACAGTGCTCGGAGCTGTCCTTGTGTTGGCGTGTGTGCTTCCCACTGCCACCCTAACGGGTGACGCAGTGCAATCCTGCTGGCGAGTGCTGCAGTCCCTTGAAGCACACATGCAACTCAACGTCAGTCTGCAGCTCTTGCCTCACGAGCCGGTTTTCAGCCTGAAGCTGGAGAACGGCATGGCTTTGACGAGCGACCTCAAGAAGATTTTGAGAGAGATCGAACTGCCCTGGTGCAGGTTGCTTTACTTGTGTCTGCCGGGTATTCGGATTGTGTTGCACATGTTGATCTTCCTTCTAGTCACTGAGTCTGATTGTCCCTCAATTAATCACGCACTAATAGCTACTGACCCATGTCCCAGGTTTGCTCGCAAACTACCAAAGTCAGTGGATCGTTCCATGCCCTTCAGCGCCATCCTCATAGCTCTACTGCGACTTCGCAGCGACTCCGTGTGCTGGCAGAGCCTTCCATTTCGACGACTCTGCAAGAGATCGCTACACTTGTTCTGCCAGCATGCCTCACGTATGCTGGGATCCAAGATCACATCCGAGTGTCCGCTGCCGGACATAGCGGCAAAATATCACCCGTATATGAAAACGTCCCGCATGAGAGGCAACAAGTGCTTGGAAATGAGCTTGATACAGAAATTCATGACACGGGGGGGAGGCTTCGTGTCGGCGAAGCAAGAGACGATGCTGTCCGACCTGGGCCTGGTTAAGCATCGCACCGCCTTTGCCAACAAGACCAGCACGGAGTTCGTGGCCAGAAATCTCCTTCGGACCGCCGAGTACGTCAGCAGCGTCATTGAGAGACAAAGTCTGAAGACTGTGAACATTTGCTTCGATACTGCGAGAGTTTGCCACGAGGACGTCCCTCTTCTGCTTCGTCTGTAGAACACATGTCATCATACGCTGGAAAACACACTGGCTTTGTACCGGACCTATTGCGCAGGCTTGAAGGGGGCTTGCCGGCTTGCTCCTGTATCATCTAACTATGTAATAGGCCCAGTCTTTGCCGCAACGTCCTCGCTCAGCTAGACGTGATCTACCCGGAGTCATGGTCCATGTCGTCTCATTTTCAGATTTCAGCCGCGAGACCTTTTGTCGACCCTGGCACAATAGCCAAGTACGTGAACTGAGGTCCTTTCCCTCGTTTTCCGTATGGACGGACGCCAGTTTGCTGGCAGCATGCAAATGCTCTCTGCAAGCGCTGCCTCGGCAAGTGAGGCTGCTGATNNGCGGCCAAGTCCTTCGGCGAAGCCTTGCAACATGAGCTCCCTGAAACTGGTCGCGCACGTGTTGAGATCCACAAGGGCTCCTTCGCCTTCAAGCAGTTCAGAACGAAGACAAAGCAGATGCTTTGCGCTGTAGCGAATTCTTTGCAGCAAGCCCTGCCGACTGGCTTCACACTCCTGCAGGCCAAACCTTCGCACGAGCTGCTGCCGTGCGGTCCACATGGCCAGCGCTTCCGATTGATGCCACAGGAGGCGGAAGCGATGGGCTTGCCGGAGGACGACAAATGCAGATTCTTCGTGTACGACTTCGACAGCCACGTCCCGCGCAAAGACTTCCTTGACAACGACGACTTTTACCACTTATGTTTCGCAGCAGACGAGGGAACTGAGGCCGGGAAAACATTCTACCTTTCTTGAGAGGGTTGCAAAGGTCATGTTTCTCTCCGTTTATCCAGCTGCCAGGGATGGTTGGCCTACCAGCACCTGGCATCGCAGAACACATGGGTCTCCTGGTGGAGCGACCCCTTCCACAAGGCTGCTCGCAAAACTGCTTTGGCCATTCGCTTGGCAGGCTGTGAGCCTTTCGTGAAGAGCGTCATGAAACTCAGTCGGTTCACTCGCGGACCCTTCAAGTCCAGCAAATTCGGGCAGTTGATCTCCGATGCGCGGAGCCACATACTGCGTGTACTGAGGACAGGGAAGGATCATGACATGGTGACGCCCTGGTTGACAGGCATGGCTCGAGACTGCGAAAGTCCATTGCGCTCCTCAGACTTCCCTGCTGAGAACTTTGATCATGCAGTGGCGTATTCGCTGCTCAAGGCCGAAGAAGGCAGGCAACCTGTGCATGAGTCAGAGGTTTCCCTCGGTCCAAACTTTTGTCCCCGATTCTGTGAGGCCGCCTGCACGTGACAGGGTCTGCAGTCAAAGACTCGAGATGGTTCTCTTTCTGGGACAACGGGATGGCCTGGGACCGACAGTGGCACAGCCTGGCAGTGTGCCATGCCTTCAGCTTCTGGCTGGAAGGCCGCAACCCGTGGTCGCTCGGGAACGCAGGAGATGCTTCCGAAGACTCCCACAGCATGCGGTCCTTCTGCTGGCATGTCCTTCGTTTGCACAAGTCCCCGAAAAGCTTTGAGTGCAGTTCACATGGTCCTCACTAAGCGCCGATTGGCACTGAGCCTGCCGAATCTTAATGCTTCTGCTGGTACGGTCTTCTGGTCCGAAACATGTGCGGAGTAGGATGTTGAAAGCTCTCGCGGTGCCGTTAGGAGAGAACCCAATAGGACTCCAAGGACTATTCATGACTATTTATTGTCATCAAAGAGCTACGTGCTTGGAGTCTGTAGTGTGACTTACTTTGCTTTTTGCCGCCCAGTTTCTTGCTGACGACACGAACCAAGACAAGCTTCGCAGTCTCTTGGTGGTCTTCCGTGCGGAGAGGCTCTACATAGCGGCTTGTGCCGCTTGAACCAATGGCCCAAACACTACCTAAATCTATTTTTTCATTGCATGTTTTCCCTACCCGCCCTGCCCCTATCGACCCCGTGTCGATCGAAATATTGCAGCAGCTGAAGGCACACTCCTTCCAAACCTGCAGCACCGCATCCCTGCAGACCATGATCGCACTGGCCACCGGCAAACGAGTGGAGAAGCTGATCAGGCCGGAAGCTTACATCCGTGAGTAGGTTCCTGGTAGCTCTGATGACCGGCATCTTGGGCATTCTCCCATAGCATCGTTCTTTTACTAAAGCCCTGGCCACAATCCAGGAAGACGCTGACAGACTGTCTGTCTCACGAGAGCTTGAGATATGTGGGGGCACTGGACGATCAAGATGCGCTTGAGTGGCACGCGGCCCTGATGTTGTCTCAACTTGCGGCCCTCTGTGAGCTTGATGAACAGGCGGCTCATTTTCCGTGGAGAAGCTGCGCGGCAATGAGTGCCGGTGCACGCGCAGAGACTCTGTCGGCAATGCGACAGGAGTGGAGTTTCTGCAATCGCTTCATTGACACCTTGCAACCTGGGAGTCAGCTGCACACCCAACTGGGCGTCACACGGTACCAGCCGTACAGGGACCTGATGATCAAAGCAGAGCCTCTCCACTCTGCTATAATCGGGAATTCTTCATGCGCCCCCAAGCCAGGAGTGTTCCAGAACAGTGTGTGTCGAGTCATGTAGACATACGGGATAGCAAGTAGCCCACGTCCAGGAACATATCTCGAAAACAGTAGTCGAAACGTTATTTTATGCTTTGCATAGAATAAAAGCAACCGTGATTGATAACCTAAGGTCCTTCGACTTTGATGCCTCCCGAATGAGCGAGCAGCAAAGCGCTGGCTTTCGTGAGACTGTGGCAGCCTTCTGCGGCTGCACTGGTGCAAACTCAGATGCACTGTTATCGTCATTACCTTCAGAATTGGCGTTTAACGACGTGCGTGACTGTGCACGCCGTGGGCAAAAGTCCGAGACATCGGATATCATCAACCTTCACGCCATTGGAGTCAAGAGCTGCACGAAGCGACCCAGTGGGTGCGAGACGCTGGAGCTGACAACCGCCGACTGGCAGAAGCCACTGCGAGGCAAGGGCATCAAATGTCGAGTGCACAATGCCCTCAAGTGCACAGATGCAGAATTGGGCGTCAGCGCAGAAGGGCTCACGCGACATAAGAGCAACCGGGCTCTGACAAAGCCACACGTGTTTCACCAACGACTGCGGCTGCTGAAGCTGCTTCAGAGACGCTGGGAAAACTGCACCGGAGATGACGATGAACGACACGAACACGTCGTGCAAGGTTTCAAGCTGATGTGGAGCTGCCGCCTGGTTCCTCGAGGCAGCTTTCTTCAGTGGACCGCAAGCAGATCCGAAGATGTGAGACAGCTGGTGCTGTCCTCGGGACCCCATGGAGTCCTGCTTCTGCCGTTGAAAGCTGTTCGGGATGAGGACTCCGAATGCTTTTCCATCTCGGAATACAAGGTGCCGCGCGAGCTCGTGGAAGTGGGCCCTGTCGACAAAGCAGAAGTAGCTCTCGCTGCTGTGACCCTGGACAAGCATGGGAAACTGGCTTGGAAACAGTCAACACCGTTCATGTCGTTGCCCGAGTTCGTGGCAGACCATACGATCTTGGAAGTACAGGCGTCCTTGCTGTGCTCGCTGTGCTCCGCCATGAAGCTGAAGGGTCACTCAAAGCTGTCCCATCGCAGACGAGTGGAAGCGTTCTTGCAAGAATTGGGCAGAAGTCAAGACTACATCACAGGCATCTTGGAAGAACTCCCCGAGAAAGTGGCA